CCGATGGGAGCGACCTATTTGTGTCGCACAACTCGTGGACCCCATATCAGGCTATGTTACGAGTGCTCAAGAAATACAGTTTCGCTTTCAATACATTGCAGTCAAACCGCACGAAACCAATAGCCGGCCATTCGGTGGCCTTCTCTTCATATCCGGGTCTTGTCTTCTCTGTCGATGACTTTTATGTCATATCATCGGGTCTTGTGGTACAGGAGACCACGAATGGCAACTATAATCAATCCCTGTATAGACATATCAGAGCCGATAATGTAATCTTTGAGTTCATACGTAATGTTGTGTCCAATCGTTTGGCCGAATCGGGCAAAGAGTGGACACAACTGTTTAGTCCTTATAATAGCGGGACATATGATAACCAGTTTATGATCGTTGACTACAAACTATTCAAAAGGGGTACAAAAGTGTCCGATTTGGCCAATGATTTGCTATGGATTGTGGAACAGATGCCGGATATCATACACGCGGCTGATGTGACTCCTGTGCTCCGGGCCCAGGGCTATTGGGCCTCATATAATGTGCCATATTTTCCGGATATCTACCAAATGAGTGGCACCGCCGATATGTTCCGCAAATTTGGTCCCTTTTATAGCCACAACTCGACCGCTCGGGCGCTGATCTTCCGCAGGGATGAGTCGAAAGTCACGGATTTGAAGACTTTGTATTCACTCATGCGTTACAATGACTTCAAAAGAGATCCGTTGTCTCAGTGCCAGACATATGAGAAGCAATGCATTCCTCCCTATTCCGCGGACCTAACCATCGCTGCCCGCAATGATCTCAACGAAGTCACCGGCAGTTACGCCATCCCTGAGTGGTCTCACGATCTCGAGGGTGCCATCGATGCCAAGATGACTACATCGACGATGGTCTGGGATCTGGAGATGTTGGCCGTCAGCGGACCCACTGATGCACAACAGCCACCATTCCAGTGGTCCACCAGTGGCTTCAAGGGTAACCATTTTGGACACCCGGATACGTTTCATTTCAAACCCATTTATGTTAAATGGTTTCCCAAAACTTACGAAACTGCGGACGACGTCTAAAATGATTATTTATTTTATTAAATAACTTATTCCCAATTTAATTTTTACCATTACCAAGCTCATACTGTAGAATTTTTTATACAGTAATATGCTTGCATAATAATTAAAAGTTTTCAAATAATTTTATCACTATATTTATTAAGCAAGAGCAGTTATTAAGAATAATAAATTATTGTTATTTAGCTAATAATATAATTAATTGCTCAAAAATTTATTTTTATTAATATCAGCATAAGTTATATTTAAATAAAATTAAATTTATAAGAAAGGTTGAAAATTTTGTGCCACATATTTGATCAAATGATCTAAATATTGTACCTCGCCCCTATTAGTGAATACCAGTCCTGCCATATTTTCTTTGGTGTTATATTTAAATAAAATTAAATTTATAAGAAAGGTTGAAAATTTTGTGCCACATATTTGATCAAATGATCTAAATATTGTACCTCGCCCCTATTAGTGAATACCAGTCCTACCATATTTTCTTTGGGAAATAATGTCAGATGAGTTGATACACCGGTCAGTCCTCCATCATGCCAAATTAGGGTCTTATAGGGGTAGGGTAGGTCATCCGGGTAGTGAATAACTTGCCAACCCTTTGCTAAATATTATTATCATTAATTTTAATTTATTTATTGTATTACTAGACATACCATATTCATTATCGCTCATCCAATCGGGTTTAATTTTGCCAATGGTTTCCGGTGTCCACAACTCCTGTACTGTTTTTTGACTTAAGAAATCTTTAAACATTTATAAAAATGAGTGTTTTTTAATCAAATACAGTATAATGAAAAATTATAAATATAATGTTAAACTACCATTACCTTGATCATTGCCATGATATGCAGATAGCATAGCATTTGCAAACCGTAACATATTGTCAGCCGTTGATATGATACCCCCTGCGGGCCACGAACCCTCGTATGAAATCAATTCATCGATTATATCAGACTTTTGCAATGTCCCGGATGTTTGGTTTGATAATTGATAGTATTGTGGTCTGTGTTTAACAATCATTTCTCGTCTCTCAGCAAATGTTGAATTCATGTGTAATTGTGTAAACATTTTCTTAATTTCATTCTCATATGTGTTGTGAAGTATGGACTCAATGATAGCGCCAACCATTTGGAA